CATCATCATTAAATTGTATTTTTAAATATAACAGTAAAAACCTACTGTTTTCCGGTTTGCATGAGTCCACGAGCAACTCATCAAATTTTAACCGAAAAATTTTGATGTGAATAAACTCATTAATACAATATCTGTAAGACTATTGATATGATATGTGAAAAGCTTTCTAATTGATTTGTGTCTCAGTACACTGCCAAGAATTTGTTATATGTATCCGAAAGTGCCTTGTTGAAGTCGCTTTTGTTTGACGATGTGATATTTTTCGAGCATGTAGATGCCATGTGGACTTCAAGATCGTAACACACTCAAGCTCGTAAAAAGGGTAGATTGATGAGGTAGCAAGTCAATGAGTCTTTGCACACTTTGGCTAAGAGCTGAGAAATGTATTATTTGGCCAAAATTCGTTATCTACAAAACAGCTATAATGGTTCGAATCAAAGGATTAAAGGAGTATATACTAAAACTTATAAAGGACATATTTTCACGAATGTTTTCTGTAGCAAATCAACTCCTTGACAAGTTTTTCCATATTGATGTAGGAAGAGCCACCAGGTGCAGTTGCCTTCTCTGCTTTCTTCTTCCATTCCATAGCTTTCTCCTTCATTTTCTTCCCCTTCTCCCCGTCTATTAGCTCCTTTACCAGCACCTCCACCTCGCCTCGCTTCACATTATTGTCTATTTCCAATCCCATACCCCATTCCACACAACTGTACCTACAGTTCGTTTGTTGCTCAGCAAAGAAAGGCCAGCAGATCACAGGCACACCCCCAATTATACTTTCTATAGTCGAATTCCACCCACTATGCGTCAAGAACCCTCCAATTGCAGTGTGTTTCAGAACCTGTTCTTGTGGGCACCAGCTGATTAACATGCTTCTATCTTTTGTTTCAGTCACGAATTCCGGTGGCAACATGGCATATTTGCCGGCCATGATATCAGGCCTAATTATCCACAAAAATGACTTCTTACTATTGGCAAGTCCCCATGCAAATTCAGTTAGCTGCTGTGCTGTTACCGTAGTTATGCTCCCAAAGTTCACATACACAACTGAATTTGGTTCTTTTGTGTTCAGCCAGTCAATACATTCCAAATTTTCCTTCCACAGTTTCGAGCTCAAAGAATCGTAGCTTTTGTCATGAATGTGATTCATCATCAATTGTAGAGGCCCGACTGTGTAAATACTCGGGTACATGGCTGAAAGCGCGTCCAAAACATCTTTTTCTAGGGCATCAAATGTGTTGATGATAATTGCTTTGGCTTTGGGAACTGCCTCAACTTCACTAATCATGAAATTGATCATGAAGTCATTTAAGTCAGTTGTTCTGATGAAGCTAGGGAAATCCCTCAGTCTAATATTCTTGGTTCCAGGAACCCAATCAAGGGTTGTATCCAAGTAACCATTTGTTACCTGGCTCATATCTGCAAATTCGAGTACACTTAGCAAAGAATAATTATATGTTTTAAAGGTACAGCATATCAAGAATAGAACGAACACATTTTCTGATCCCCTGCTATACTATCAAGTACTATTACTAATGAATCATACACTGTGGATTCACGTGATAAATAAAATTTCAAGACCTGACTTCATGATTCGGGGCTTTATCACGTGCACGTGTTGAAGTGGATCATTCCAGGAGTTCAATATATTATAAAAATAGTTAAAATAGCAAAATATGTATTATGTTACATAATTTCATCTTTAGAAATCGCAATGCCAAAGGCTAAGTTGCATTACTTTCAATTACAAAGAAACTACCCTAAATTTTATATGGACACTCGGATCGTGTTTAGAAGGAAAATGACGAATATTATTTATTTTTAACTATTGGTATTTCCAGATGTGACATAATATAATTTTCAAAAGTATCGTGGCCTTCAAACTTTCAAGTATCCAGGAGTCACCAATCAATTGTGCAAAGTTGTTCAAATTGGATGATGGAGGTTGAAAAGAAACTATCCTCATATTTATAGGATATCATCGTAGTTTACAATTTAATTTCTTTAACAAGTACTGGAATGATAAATGATGGAATTCTAAAAGGATTTTAGAATGATACACCAAACTTATAGACTTTAGATACAAATTTAGATCTTTTATTTTCCGTTAGCTAAAAGCAACATGTTACACTATGTCATAATATCATAACACTCTCGTCATTTTACAATTATCACACATTCACAATTATGGATTTTTCATGCTAATGTATTGAATTAAGAATAAAGTTGCAGAATCCCAAGTTCCAATCCCGAGGCTGAGTCAGCCCTTGATTTTGAATGGAGCGGGCCCCATGAATTAAAGATCAAGGGCCGAGGTGATTGCCACCTC